GAGAGAGACAAGGAGAGAGAGAGGTTTGGGGCTGAGTCGAAGAAGAGAGATGGACGCGCACACAAGAGAGAGAGAGAGAGAGAGAGAGAGAGAGAGAGAGACAGAGAGAGCGCGAGCGTGAGCGGCATGTACAATGCACAGCCCAGCGAGACCCGGGAAAGTAGCGTTTGCAGTCCTGATGGCGCCAGCGGTTTTCCCCTATCTTTGTCCTGCGAAAGGACCGCTACAACCATATTCAGTGTGTGCAAGAGCTGTAGTGTGGCATGCTGCTGTGACTAGCCGCCTTTCCCTATGTACCTTTTCACCTGAACGCGGACATAGTATACCCCGACAGTCCAGACGACTCACAACTTGGGGTTCTTGTCATCGTTACCCGTCTTTGTGCGCCATTGCTGCTCTCTGGTTGGTACCCTCGTCGTGTGCAGTAAAGTAGCCCTTCAGTTGGCCTAGGTGCAGCACATCAGGGGACACCGTCACGGATTGCTCATTGTATTGTTGGTTCTCCGTGGTTTCAAAGGGGTGTTTCCCTTCGCCGAATCTGCCGTGGCATCCCTTTTCCTTGACACATCACCGAGGTCGCTCCTCCACCTCTTACCCTTGCGAAAGAAAGACAGACAGAGAGAGAGCCAGAGAGCCTGATGCCCCTGGTGGGTGGACTGGACAGAGGGAAAGAGGGAGAGAGAGCGAGAGTGAGCCCGACAAAGACTGGGGGGCCCATGTGGCCAGGGGGCCTGACAAGCTCCTTTGCCCCTGTGGAAGAAGGGACCACAACCAGCTCACCACAGCCCCCGGAGAAAGAAAGAGAGAGAGAGAGATGTGGCACAGGGCCAGGGAGTTGGATTTTATCTTCGTGTGGATACGAGTACATAATAGCACATACACTTGCATATTCAGCTATAGATATGTAGAAATAGAAGGACGTTACCGTACATGTATGCATCTGCATAGTTAAACAACAAGTATGTATGTATATATATATATATATACACGCATATATAGTATCCATATTTATATGTCTATGTATACTTATTTGCATGCAGGTACATATAAAAGATGCATATTTACACGTGTCTAGTCTTGCTTAAAGATGTCACTGTGCGCTTTTCAGCAAGCTGATGCTTTGAACACTTGTCATTGTCAAGCAGTGCACGTCGGTTGCGCTCCGCCTGCTGCATGTCAAGGTGCGCTTCTGGGGCCTGACCCTTTCTTGTCCATCCCATGCACACCTCTGAGCCACTCTTGAGTTGTCCCTGACATTCGCATGCACGAACCTCCAAGCAGTTCAGCTTTTGTGATCTTGGAATTGGGTATCCATGACAGGAACTTCGACTGTTGCGTCAGGAGATCAGGCCTGGACAGTTTGGATTATATTGAGCCCGTGATCTCATAGTCTCCTGCTTTTCTTCGCGCCGCAATTTGTGCCGCTGGATTGATCGACGGTTTTTGATTCAAATTGCATGCGCGTCGGCAATTCTTGCTTGGACCGAGGGTCGTTTCTCTGGTGGCTGATGCATTAGGTGTTTTTGCACTATGGAGCTATTTTCTCAAGGCCCTTAACATCTAAGGTAGAATCCATGGGCCCCTAGTATGGGCCCTTAACCCTGGGACCCTAATATACCTACTATATACCCTATATATACCCTTAAGGGGCCCATGGGTTCAACCTTAGATAACAGCATGATACGAGTTGCCACGGGAGCTCTTGGGAGGCTGGAGAGCGAGAGCCAACGGCAGCTGGCCGCACGTCTGGACGCCACCGTGGCGATCCTCCAGGAATTGCTGCTGCTTTAGTGTTTAGGGTTTAGGGTTTAGGGTGCTTCTAGCATGTGGGTTGAGCCAATCGAAACTCAGGACTTAAGACCGAATCATCCCATGATTGCCAAACTTGTGGCTCACACGTTCCGGATGTGCTAGATGCGGGAATATGTAGAATGATAGCAGGGCTGGACTTAGTGATCCTTGGTGGCAGGCCGTGAGGGACTTTCGTATTGAATTGCAGACGAGCGTTCTCTCATCCGGAGTTTTGGGTCTATCACAGCTGAGGGTGCAGTGTTCCGAGTCTACCGCGGGAAGTCGGTGTGTTTTCCTTGCTGATTCAATCTTCATCTTTGGGAAAGTGCGCTAGTCTTCGATGCTGAGCTTTTCAGTTCTTCAGGAGGTGGCTTAGAGAGCACGTGCCACGAAAGCCCCGCAGGAAGAGAAGAAGAAGCGGGAGGAGGTCCTGCCTGTGCTGGGCCGTAGAAGACAGCCGGTTTCCGGACGCGTCCTCACCGCCAGCTGTGGTATAAGTCGGCAGACGATCGCCTGGTGCTATGGCTCTGCTGCCACAGCCAAAAGCGCTTCATCTGCTGTCTTCCTGGCAGGCTGCGCGGCAACGCGAGGAGGCAGATGCAAAGCTGGAGCAGAAGTGGCATGGAATTGTCAAAGAAGAGGGAGCCGCTTGGAGAGCGTTTGGCAATTAACTGGTTGTTTTTGAATTGGGCGCTGAGAATTTTTGAACCTGTGACAGATTGTGCCCGACCCTAAACCCTAAACAGGGATTGTTCGCTCGACATTGTAGTTGCTGCACTCGTTGGACACAAGAGACCTCGTCTGGCGGAGTCCGAGTTGCGAGAGCGTAAACCCTAAACAGGTTTGGGGTTTGGGCTGCTGAGTGCCTCTCTAGACTGCCTCTGCCATCCACTCCCCGACAGAAAGACTTTCTGCCGCCCACGCAGCTATCCTGAATGTTCCGTCCTCGCAAGCGAGATCCCGAAATGTGGGCCAAAACCAAACACCCCTCATTCTGAATCCAGGGTTGAAAAGCCCGAGTTGACCGACAGGGAGCCCCAAGCAAGGATTCAAACCTTAGCTTGCTAAGTCTTTAGTCATTCCGTATGCTGCATCAATCCGCCGGACTGCAGTCTCTACGCCGAGCAGTGGAAAGCCATCTCGAGGCTGACGATTGTTCGGGTTCCCGCGGTGGCCGACATCCTGCACACGTACACACACTGATTCAGACATATCCTGATGAGCAATCCCAGCACTATTGTTCACACAGTGGAAGCCGTCGTCGTCCACATCGTCGTCGTAGCAATAGCAGCAGCAGTCGCAGTGGTAGCAGCAAGCAGTCGCAGTGCTGTAGTTGTCGTCGTTTTCGTCGGCGTTTTCTCGTCGCAGTCGTCGTAGTTGTCGTCGTGGTCGCAGTCTTAGATGTCGTAGCCGTGATGGCACTTGTGGGTGTCGTCGTCTTCGTCGTGTTCGTCGTCGTAGTAGTGGTAGTACTGGTAGTCGTCGTCGTCGT